AATTATTGGTTGTTTGTATTTTATTACGTGACATCAAATTTTTGCCGACTGGAAGCCACCCTGAGTCCCTCCGCCAGGGGGTTGAGAAAGGTGGAGTACAAGTGTTCAAAATAAATAAATAAATAAAGCAGATAATCTGGATTTTATATGGCAGTGTAGAAAGGGCCGGAGAGAACAACTGCAAGGTGCTATGGCAGGAGCTATCTATTTATTTATCTATCTGTCTATCATCATGTGTAGCCTGTTGTCAACCTTTGCAACCCGAAAGACAGTTGCATCTGTCAAGTAGGAAAATTAGATACCACCTTAAAAGTGTGGGGAGGCTAAATTAACTGATTTATGAGGCCATAAAGAAGACTCCAGCAAAGCATTCCAGCGGGGAAGCATGCGGGGAATGCGGAAGTGCTTCATCAGCATCGCAGACGGACGATGAAAGCGACAGCTCCCCTGGTGGCCAGAAAAAGTTAAATAGCCTCTGTGTATGTCTGTATATGTTTGTATGTCAAAAATTGGCACTGAAAGTTTGCCATATATGTGTACACTGTAATCCGCCCTGAGTCCCCTGCGGGGTGAGAAGGGCGGAATATAAAAGCTGTAAATAAATAACATAAATCATAATTTATTTATTTATTTATTTACAGTATTTATATACTGCTTTTCTCATCCCTAGGGGGACTCAAATAGATGTTTACTGTTGTTTGTGTTTATATTGTGGATTTTAATAAGGCCAATTGGCTGATCAATAAAAAAATGTTTTGTTTCCTTTAATCTATCATCATTTATCTTTGTTTCTTCCTCCCTTCCTCTTATTCCGACCCCCCCAGTGTACATATTGTTTGTGCTGCAATACTAAAGAGACAAATACATAAATATGCAATATATGGCATTCTTCTATCTATAAAAAAGAAGCTAGGGCACTGCAGTAGTTTGAAAGTTGGACTAGACATGGTTTTCAATCCCATCTCATTCATAGAATTCACATTCTTTCAATGTCAGAGGAAGGCAATGGGGCAAGTCCTGCCAAGGACACATTAGGATAGGGTTGGAGCCATCTTGAAAAGCATATAGTAGTAACAACAAAGATGGCACTATTCAGGACTAAGGTTTGCAATGGTCCTAGTTTCCCCCATTTCCAAAGGTATGTTCCTTCTCGGGGAAACCTCTTTGAGGACAAAGGATCCCAATCCCAGGAAGCATGGATTGGGTTGCTCTTCTCTCTCTGTCCCTCTTGAAGGAAAGGAATTGCTTTGCTCTATCATCCCTCAGCTTTGCTTATCTCCACTCCTCCTCCAAAATGAGAAGTAATGGATGAGCATTCCTCTTTTGGGAAAGGAGGATCACAAAGAAAGCAGGGCAAAGTGGGAGAAAGCAAGTCAATGGAGCATTAAGAGGTTCAGCACCTTGGACAGTTCCCTTCAACTTTACACTAAAATATTGATTTACCTCCTCTCAGAGAAGCAAACAGTAACACTTGTCTTTCCCCACCCCAATTGCCCATCTCTGAGGCCCCTTCTACACTGCTACATAAAACCCAGATTATCTTCTTTGAACTGGATTATATGGCAGTGTAGACTCATATAATCCGTTTCAAGGCAGATCATGTTTTTTTTTTGCTTTGATAATCTGAATTCCATGGCAGAGTAGAGGGGACAATAGAAGACTCTAATCTGTGTGTTGATCTAAAGCGATTGAAGAGAAGGAAGAGAAGAAAACTATATCTTGAAGGAGCTGTTTTCTCCTCCCTGAAGCAAGAAACGTAGCTAATGCTATCAGATCTGGAAAGCAGGACCTGTTGGGCCAACTTGGAAGGAGAAAGGTGCCAAGGAGGCAACCAAAAGCCATTCTTCAAGGCACAATCTCTTGGAACTCTCACTACCATATACTCCATCTATATCTATATCTATATCTGTATCTGTGTCTGTGTTTGTGTCTGTATCTATATCTATCTATCTATCTATCTATCTATCTATCTATCTATCTCAAAGCAGAAAGCCCAGGCTGTCAGATAAACAGATTATCTGTTTTGAACTGGATTGTAAGGCAGTGTAGACTCATATAATCAAGTTCAAAGCAGACAGCCTGGACTTTCTGCTTTGAACTGGATTACATGAGTCTACACTGAGTTGTTCTGAGTTTTCTGGGCTGTATGGCCATGTTCCAGAAGCATTCCCTCCTGACATTTCATTCACATCTATGGCAGGCATCCTCAGAGGTTGTGAGGTCTGTTGGAAACTCGGCAAGTGGGGTTTATATATCTGTGGGATGTCCAGGATGGGAGAAAGAACTCTTGTCTGTTGGAGCTAGGTGTGAATGTGATTAGCATTGAATGGCCTTGTAGCTTCAAAGCCTGACTGGTTGCTGCCTGAGGGAATCCTTTGTTGGGAGGTGTTAGCTAGCCCTGATTGTTTTCCACTGTTTTCTGAGTGTTCTTGAATTACTTTATTTACCAGCATTAACAAACTCTAAAATTGGGACAAGTAAATAAAGAGCCACACTCATAGAATCATAGAGTTGGAAGGGACCTCATGGGCCATCCAGTCCAGCCCCCTGCCAACAAGCAGGAAAATTGCATTCAAAGCACCCCCGACAGATGGCCATCCAGCCTCTGTTTAAAAGCTTCCAAAGAAGGAGCCTCCACCACACTCCGGGGCAGAGAGTTCCACTGCTGAATGGCTCTCACAGTCAGGAAGTTCTTCCTAATGTTCAGGTGGAATCTCCTTCTTGTAGTTTGAAGCCATTGTTCCACATCCTAGTCTCCAGGGCAGAAGAAAACAAGCTTGCTCCCTCCTCCCTGTGACTTCCCCTCACATATTTATACATGGCTATTACGTCTCCTCTCAGCCTTCTTTTCTTCAAGCTAAACATGCCCAGCTCTGTAAACCGCTCCTCATAGGGTGTGTTCTTCAGACTCTTGATCATTTTAGTCACCCTCCTCTGGACACATTCCAGCTTGTCAATATTTCTCTTCAATTGTGGTGCCCAGAATTGGACACAATGTTCCAGGGGAAATCAAGACAAGAAACAATCAGGGCCAGCTAACACCTCCCAACAAGGGATTTCCCCAGGCAGGAAGCAGCAAGCTTTGAAGCTGCAAGGCCATTCAATGCCAATGGGTTGCTCTTTACTTTTGATTTAAAACCCTCCAAATAGATACATCCTCTGTTTATGTCCAGCATTTATTTTTTTAAAGTTTTAATTATTACATTTGGCCCAGCCATAAGTTTTTAAACTCTTGTGTGTTATTTTCTACTTGTGGGTTATATTAATTGCATTGTTTATCTTGTTTATTGCTTGTTATTTTATTATTGCTTGTTGTTTTTGGTGTGTTGTTGGGCTTGGCCTCATGTAAACCGCCCCGAGTCCCTTGGGGAGATGGTGGCGGGGTATAAATATATTATTATTATTATTATTATTATTATTATTATTATTATTAATCAAGGTGCCCAATTACAACATTCACCCTTGCCTCAAGCAGTCAAGAGTTCTTTCTCCCACCCTGGACATTCCCACTTGCCTAGTTTCTGACAGACTTCACGTCCTCTGAGGATGCCTGCCATAGATGTGGGCCAAATGTCAGGAGAGAATGCTCCTGGAGCATGGCCGCCTGGAAAACTCACAGCAACCCAATGATAACGGCCATGGAAGCCTTCCGCAACTCATTGAGTCTACACTGCCATATAGTCCAGTTCAAAACAGATCATCTGGGACTCGGGACGGGGGTATAAATAAAGTATTATTATTATTATTAATCAAGGTGTCCAATTACAACATTCACCCTTGCCTCAAGCAGCCATAAGGTTTTTTCTCCCACCCTGGACTTTGCACAGATATATAAACCCAATTTTCCTAGTTTCCGACAGACCTCACTACCTCTGAGGATGCCTGCCATAGATGCAGGCGAAAGGTAAGGAGAGAATGCTTCTGGCCATGAAAGCCTTCGACAACACAGTAATAATGGTGTAAAGATATATCCTACTTCTCCCAAGAGTTCTTTCTCCCACCCTGGACTTTCCCACTTGCCTAGTTTCCGACAGACTTCACATCCTCTGAGGCTGCCTGCCATAGATGTGGACGAAACGTCAGGAGAGAATGCTTCTGGCCATGAAAGCCTTCGCAACACAGTAATAATGGTGTAAAGATATATCCTACTTCTCCCAAGAGTTCTTTCTCCCACCCTGGACTTTCCCACTTGCCTAGTTTCCGACAGACTTCACATCCTCTGAGGCTGCCTGCCATAGATGTGGACGAAACGTCAGGAGAGAATGCTTCTGGCCATGAAAGCCTTCGCAACACAGTAATAATGGTGTAAAGATATATCCTACTTCTCCCAAGAGTTCTTTCTCCCACCCTGGACTTTCCCACTTGCCTAGTTTCCGACAGACTTCACATCCTCTGAGGATGCCTGCCATAGATGTGGGTCAAACGTCAGGAGAGAATGCTTCTGGAGCATGGCCGCTTAGAAAACCCACAGCAGCCCAGTGATAACGGCCATGGAAGCCTCCCGCGACTCATTGAGTCTACACTGCCATATAGTCCAGTTCAAAACAGATAATCTGGATTGCATATGGCAGTGGAGTTTCCCTTTACATCATGGCTAGTTGCATTCAGTCCCGAAGAAGGATCCAAAGAAAGGGAGGTTTCAAATAACGACTTAATAACGGGGCATCTTCGGATCCCGTTACTTGGCAAACCGACTGACATTTCTCTACGGATTGTGCATTTGAAAAGGGGGATAGGGATAGGGAAAAAGTTCCTAACCAGTTTGGAAATACCCCCCCCCCCCCCGATCCACAGGTTCTTGATCCATAGATCACATTGAACCCAGCGAGAGTCGAAAGTCGACGGATTTTCGGCTGTCCTATGAACCTGAAGGGCTTTTGAAACCATTCAAAGGAAGGACAGAGTGGGGGAAAGAGTCCTTTTGAGAAACCCCCTCCAGCCAGCCCCCCAACTAAGGTTTATCCAAGGGGAAAGCCTTCCCTGCTCAAGAAGAGCCTTACCTGGAGCGCCTCGGCAGGAGCGGAGTTGGCTTCCGAAGGGAGACAAGAGAGAGAGAGGAGGAGGAAGAAGGGAGTCAAGGGGAGGAGGCAAGGCGAGGCTGGCCCCCTCCCTGCTCCTGGCCACTGCTCCCCCCCCCCCAAAAAAAACCCGCATCCGGACCGCCCCAAACCTGCCCCCCTTCTTTTCCCTGGGCTGGGCAAGTGGGAACTCCTCCTCCTGCTGCTCCCCGCCTCCAATCTGGTCCAGGGAAAGAAAGGGATGGATGGGGAGGGGACTTTCAAGTCCAGAGACAGACCCAAAGCCAGACCAACTCCCCACTCCCAGCAGTCCATTGCACTGAGCTTCTTGTGAGCTTCCCGGTTGAGGAAAGGAGTAGGAAGGGTTTCAAGGAGGGCTTCTTCTTCTCCAGGAGGAAAGCACCCTCGGTGGATCCGGGCAGAAAGACTGGGGAGGAGTCGCCAGGAAGGCGCTCCCCACGCCCCACCTCCCTGCTCCCCACTTTCCTGCCCCCCAGTTCATAGTTTCACCCTGAAATTGTGATATTTCACTCACCCATTCCATCCTGTATAGACCTCACAACCTCTGAGGATGGTTGCTATAGGTGCAGGCGAAAGGTCAGGAGAAAATACTTCTAGGACATGGCCATATAGCTTGAAAAACCTACAACAACCCAGTGATTAAAGCCATGAAAGCCTTCGACAACACATAAATGACTTGTGAGGTCTCACACCCTTTGAGGATGCTTGCCATAGGTGCAGGCGAAAGGTCAGGAGAGAATGCTTCCATATAACCCGAAAAACCTTCAACAATCCAGTGATCCCAGCCATGAAAGCCTTCGACAATGTACAGATATGCTTCCCCACTCTCGCTGGATTCGCTTCTCCCCTCACACTTCTCCCCTTGATGGGGATGACTATCTGATCTACAGTGAATATCTGGGGTGGTGGGACTTACTCTCTCCTCTCTATGACTTCCTCTCACATATTTATACATGGTTATCATGTCTCCTCTCAGCCTTCTCTACTTCAGGCTAAACATGCCCAGCTCTTTGAGCCGCTCCTCATAGGGCTTGTTCTCCAGATCCTTGCCCTTGGATCCGGGCAGAGAGACCGGGGAGGGGTCACTAGGAAGGTGCTCCCCCCACCCCACCTCTCTTTTCCCCACTCATCTGCCCCCCAGTTCATAGTTTCACCCTGAAATTGTGGTATTTTACTCAGAAAGGGAAACCCTATTCCGTCCGCCAACCTGTATAGAGATGCTTCCCCATTCTCACTGGATTCGGTTCTCCCCTCCCACATGGATTGAAAGAACTCTTGTCTCCTTGAGGCAAGTATGAATGTTGCAATTGGCCACCTTTGATTAGCATCGAATAGCTTGGCAGCTTCAAGGCCTGGCTGCATCCTGCCTGGGGCAATCTTTTGTTGGGAGATGTTAGCTGGCCCTGCTTGTTTCTTGACTGTATTTCCCCTGTTTTTTGAGTGTTGCTCTTTATTTACTGTCCTGATTTTAGAGTTTTTTTAAATACTGCTAAAGTAAGTAAAGAACATCACTCAGCAACAGGGAAATTCCTAACATGAAGCAATCAGGGCCAGCTAACATCTCTCAAAAAGGATTCCCCCAGGCAGGAAGCAGCCAGGTTTTGAAGCTGCCAGGACATTCAATGCCAATCAAGGTGGCCAACTGCAACATTCACACTTGTCTCAAGCAAACAAGAGTTCTTTCTCCCACCCTGCACAATCCATAGATATATAAACCTCACTTGCCTAGTTTCCCTCAACCTCTGAGGATGCCTGCCATAGATGTGGGTGAAACGTCAGGAGAGAATGCTTCCGGAGCATGGCCATACAGCCCAGCAAACTCATAATAATAATAATAATAATAATAATAATAATAATAATAATAATAATAATAATACTCTGCCTTCCCCAAACTAAGGCCCCATCTACATTGCCATAGAAAATCCAGACCATCTGCTTTGAATTGGATTATATGACAGTGTAGACTCCCATAATCCAGTTCAAAGCAGATCACGTGGCTCATCTGCTTTGATAATCTGGATGATGTGGCAGTGTAGATCCAGCATACGACTGTGGGCCCTTCCACAAAGCCATATAACTGAGAAGATCAAGGCAGAAAACTTCACAATATCTGAACTGGGTTATCTGAGTCCACACTGCCATATATCCCAAGCGGATAATGTGGGATTTTATACAGCTGTGTGGAAGGAGCCTCAGGATCCCATAGCATTCAGAGTGGTGATTGTGTTGATGTGAGTACTATGCCTCATTGGGTGAGTAAGTTTAAAGATATTGAAGTGAGAACATCTAACTTGCATGACAAACAAAGAGTTGGACGTCCTGTGACAGCAACCACCCAGTTTCACAAGAAAAAGGTTGACAGATTGATTCAGGTTGGTCGCCTTATCACTCAGAAAGAAATTTCAAGCATAATTCGCATTTCACAAGGACGTGTGGGTCACATTATTGCTTCGGAAGATCTGGGTTGCGGAAACAGAGTGTCAACTTCTTCAGTGACGGCTTCAGAGTTGGCAGAAATGTATCCAATTGTATGATGATTGTGTGGAGAAGTGAATAGTGGTAGTTAGTGGTATTAAAATATTAATAATATTAGTGGTATTAACAGAGGCGGCCCTAGGTAATTTTCAATGGTAAGCAAACAGTATTTTGCCCCCCCCCAACCAATCACTGATATATATTTTCTGTTCGTCGTGGGAGTTCTGTGTGCCATATTTGGTTCAATTCCATCATTGGTGGAGTTCAGAATGCTCTTTGATTGTAGGTGAACTATACATCTCAGTAACTACAATTTGCATATGTCAAGGTCTATTTTCCCCCAAGAGCGCCTCAAGAGTGCCCCTGGGCAAAATCAACTATACTGCAAATGCTTACTTTTTGTAATGGGTTGAGCTGCCCCTGGGTATTAAAATATTCCCATCCAAACCCAAGGAACAAAGGTCACATTATTGCTTTGCTTGGCTATCTGAAGGTCTGTGCATGATGGGGAAACAGAGTGTCTACTTCTTCAGTGACGGCTTCAGAGTTGGCAGAAATGTATCCAATGGTCTGATGATTATGTGGAGAAGTGAATAGTGGTAGTTAAAGAGCACATTCTAAGGATTATTTCTGCATTTGATTTATTAAGATATTCCCATCCAAGTAACAAAGGTGGAGGCATTACTTTTCATTCAACCCTGGTAGTATTGATGAATACCACTTTAATTGGCATGGTTCGGTGGGAGATGCAGTTTGATCACATCTGTAGCCTTCTCTGCCCAAGAGGGCTGGTCCCCCCCCCCCCATCCAAAGTGTGTCCATCCTATAATGGAAACCCCTAACCCCTACTGGGTCGTTTTCGAAACAGGTTCTTTCAAATCGCTTCCGAAGATAATCGAGGCCAGTGGGGTGTATTTAGTCCATTTGGACTTACTCCTGAGTAAGTCTAGATCTGGTTTCAGCTTTGGAGGGGTTTGAGTAGGATCCTAGTTTGATGGATTCTTTCCTAGTGCCTGAAACGAGTCAATGGGAGGGGAAATTTCGTTGGTGCCATGGCTTCCTCCTCTTCAGAGTCTCTTTCCAGGGAAGAGAAGGGAAGGAGATCCTTCCTGTCTTTTTTTCTGGCCCAAAAGAGAGAAAACTCCCAAGTCAAAGACCACATCCCAGCCCAAGTTGTGGAAAATGGAGGAATCTACCTTCCCAGAGGAAAGAGAAGGCAGAGAATATTGGAAAAAACGAAATGTGAATTTGGGTTGCCTCAGTAGTGTTGTCCCCCCCTTATCCACGGATTCAGCCAACCGCGGCTTGAAAATAGTAAAGGTAAAGGTTCTCCCATTGACATTAAGTCCAGTCGTGTCCTTCTCTGGAGTGTAGTGCTCATCTCCATTTCCGAGCCGGCGTTGTCCGTAGACACCTCCAAAGTCATGTGGCCGGCATGACTGCATTGAGCCCCCTTCTCATTAAATTAAATGGAGGGGGGGGGGATAGGATGGTATATCCATTTTTCATAATAATAATAATAATAATAATAATAATAATAATAATAATAATAGTAAGGTAAAGGTAAAGGTTTTCCCTGATATTAAGTCCAGTCGTGTCCTTCTCTGGAGTGTAGTGCTCATCTCCATTTCCGAGTCGGCGTTGTCTCTAGACACCTCCAAGGTCATGTGGATAGCATGACTGCATGGAGCACTGTTAACTTCCCGCCGGAATGGAGCCTACTCACATTTGCATGTTTTCGAACTGCTTAGTTGACAGAAGCTGGGACTGACAGCGGGAGCTCACGCCGCCCCCTGGATTCGAACCAGTGACCTTTCGGTCAACAAGCTCAGCAACCCACTGTGCCACGGGGGGGGGGGGCTCCCCAATAATAATAATAGAATCATAGAATCAAAGAGTTGGAAGAGACCTCATGGGCCATCCAGTCCAACCCCATTCTGCCAAGAAGCAGGAATATTGCATTCAAATCACCCCTGACAGATGGCCATCCAGCCTCTGTTCAAAAGCTTCCAAAGAAGGAGCCTCCACCACACTCCGAGGCAGAGAGTTCCACTGCTGAACGGCTCTCACAGTCAGGAAGTTCTTCCTCATGTTCTGATGGAATCTCCTTTCTTGTAGTTTGAAGCCATAATAACAATAATAATAATAATAATAATAATAATAATAATAATAATAATAGCATATATATCTGGTTTGCTGTGACATGCTGTGTTTTTGTGCCAGTAAAATAATAATAATAATAACAATAACATATATATCTCGTTTGCTGTGGTATGCTGTGTTTTTGTGTCAGTAAAATAATGATGATGATGATGATGATGATGATGATGATGATGATGATGATAGCATATATATCTCGTTTGCTGTGACATGCTGTGTTTTTGTGCCAGTAAAATAATAATAATAATAATAATAATAATAATAATAATAATAATAATCATGCTGACACTATATGAGGATTTAAAGATCCAACTGCAAAGACTCTGGCACAAGCCAGTCAAGGTGATCCCAGTGTTGATTGGCACACTGGGTGCAGTGCCTAAAGACCTTGACCTGCACTTAAACACAATCGGC